GGAGAGGAGACGGTCGGTCTCTCTCCCCAGCTGCAGTGTGCATCCCAGGGAGAGAAGTGTGTTATCCTTCCTCCCCAGCGGCAGCATGTGTTATTGGGAGAAGAGACGGTCGGTCTCTCTCCCCAGCAGCAGTATATGTTACAGGGAGGGGAGACAACCGCTCTCCCTCCCCAGCGGCAGTGTGCAGCCCAGGGAGACGAAGAGGTCATCCTTCCTCCCCAGCAGCAGTTTACCTTGCAGGGAGAGGAGACAACCGGTCTCTCTCCCCAGTGGCAGACAGAGTCACCGGGAGAGTGAAGCCTCGTACACTCTCCCCAGCGGCAGTGTGTGTTACGGGGAGGGGAGACAACTGGTCTCCCTCCACAGCGGCAGTGTCCCTTCCTGGGAGAGGAGACAACCGGTCTCTCTCCCCTACAGCAGCTGGAGCTACTGGGAGAGTAGACAACTGGTCCTTCCCCCCAACCACAGCGGTACAGCACCCCTAACCTTGATGGTGCAAATGGGACCACTGTCTCTGCACCAGACCTGCAGGGATGCTGGACGGCTGGTCCAGATCCCTGACCAACCCCACAGGAATGCCAGGAGGAGGAGGTTAGCGGCGATCCCTCCTCTCCACAGCAAATCCACCACCAGGTCCTGGGGGTAGTACTCACTGACCCCATCCTAGCAGAAGAGCTGGCATCTGGGCAGAGCGCAGCTAGCCTCTGCCCTCCGCCTGACGACCCACCAACCAACCCAGCTGAACCGCTGGCTACAGGGCAGAGTGCCGCTGGCCTCTACTCACCAGGCACGGAGGGGGAGACTGCACCCGCCGTCCTCAGCAAACATTTTATTATATGAGTTATGTATTTTTATGTAGTTTTTTGTAACAGTTTTTGGACTGATAATTGGCTTACCACAGCCACTTAAGCCAATTATCTCCAGGATAGAGGAGAAGATAGTCCGGCCGCACAGCCTAAATCTGTGGAACTGTTTTGGGCATGAAAGCCATGCTTGCGGTCGGTCAAATATGACTTTCATAAAACTGATCTGGGTGATTTTGGATATGTTCACCCAGATTAGGGCTATCCAGGGATGTAGAATGTATGGGGATATGTCGCTGTTTTGGGGTGTTTCTGTGTTTTGGGTAAAAACTGTATATTTTCTGCCTGTGATAATTAAGTTAGCCCATAGTGTTCAGTAATTTTATCACAGGCAGAGGGGAGGGTTTGTGTGCCTTAGCTGGGAGTGCCTGACTGTACTGTGTTGATTGGCTTTTGTAACTTTGTGTCCTGTGTACCACAAGGTCCACGTGGGTGGTAACCTTGTGGGAAAATGTGTATATAAGAAAGTCCTGTGTGCTCATTAAAACAGTTCTACTTCACCCTCAATTTAGAGTCCTTTTTCTTATTGGGGTAAACAGCTACAAGGGATTGCTATGCTCTTCATACTCCCTTGGATAATCACTAAGCTCTTTTAAGAGCTTGTTTCTGCTTCACTCTCTGGGGAAAGAAAGGTTCACCCACTTGAACCTGGAGCCTTGTTGTAGGTCCAGGGTGGGTAGGAGACGGCGAGACCCCAACAAAGCTGCGGCGGTTTGTGGGGTATGCTGTGATTATGGTGTCTAGTGGAGTGCTTGGAGCCCTCCTTCAACGGAGGTACCCAGTCGGGGTGCCTTGTGATCCGTTACACAGGGCTAGAGGAATCTGCAGCCAGCCAACAGGTCAGAAAAATCTGTCAACCGGATCCCTAAAAATCCACACAGGACACCCAGTTCCAAATCGAACTAACATGAAATACTTTATTTTACTTGGGACTAGCGCATATGATCATTACATTTAGATGTGACAAACATAATAAAATTCAAACAACCAAAACATGTCACAAAATATACTTTAAATTATAATAGCATAATAACATTTTTATATGTTATTTCTGTGTGGGAAGAAATATTGAGAAAGTTTCACTCTCTCGTTATTACTTGTAAATATTTGAACAGGTGCATGACTCATCCTTACTGAATTACTGTTAACTCTTAGAGAGCAGCTGAATTAACACAGACTTCCCACAAACTTGAAAAGGCTTGGCAAAACCCAGGAAGGTTGCACCCACCAACTTCTGATCATAACCATCAGTCTAATCCAAAGTGATTATAGTGCTTAGTAGGGGTAGGCAACTCCAGATCTTTTAATGTTATAGATGACCTCTTCCATAATGCTCTTACAGCCATAATGCTGCAAGCAAACTTGAAAAGGCTTGGCAAAACCCAGGAAGGTTGCACCCACCAACTTCTGATCATAACCATCAGTCTAATCCAAAGGTATTATAGTGCTTAGTAGGGGTAGGCAACTCCAGATCTTTTAATGTTATAGATGACCTCTTCCATAATGCTCTTACAGCCATAATGCTGCAAGCATGAGGGGGGATATAGTTCACAACGTGTGGAGTGCTGAACGTTCTATACACCTGGCTTAGAGTATTTGAATAATAGCATTTATTCAGTGCTGAAATGTGGTATTTGTCTGGTGTCTCTTTTTTTATTTTAGGTTTGGAGAATGCCTCCAAACTGACTTAAACTAGGCCCCCACACATTTCAAAAGCTTGGAATTTTTTTCCTTATGCGAACCTGATAAGGAAAGAGGGAGTGATCTTACTTTTGGAAGGTGGCCAGAATGCAGGGAGGCTTAACAGTCCATATGATCATCTTGTTTCTGATCAGACAGAGAGTAATTAAAGGAAAACTATTGTTAGACATACAAACGTATATATTCCAAACACTATAGTTTTGGACAACCAATTAGGGTCCCTGACGCTTGTCAGAGTGAAGAATTAAGTGAAGAGTTAAGGTTTTAAACGTACCTTTTCTCCCTTGCCGCAGCCGTCTCACGCTTCTGGCCCTGCCTCCATGGCTAAGATCATCAATCTTGACTATCCTAATAAATCCAATGCTATCCCATAGGTAGGTATTGCACATGCTCAGGAAAACACCATGCTGCGCCAATCATCATCTCCTCATAGAGATGCATTGGAGCACGTAGGTGCTGGGACAACAAATCAGATCCATGGAGGCTCTACCTCGCATTTTGCAGAACTTAAAGGAGCTGCTGCTATTGTCTTGGTGCCAGATACCACAGGACATGTTCAAAGGTCTTATGTGCATTCCTCGATGCGTCAGAGCTGTTTTGACAGCACAAGGGGGACCGACATGATATTAGGTAGGTGATTATAATATTGTGGCTGATCAGTGTATAGGTGAGCTAGGTAATGTTTCCGAGTCAGCTATTTTGGCATGCATACTGCAATTTAGTTTACCTCCCTGCATGTTCTGTGCAATCATTTAACTTGAGGCAGTTTAAACCTAATGACCCCCCAGGTCCCCACCCATGACTGGCGGGTGGGGACCTAATTGCTTTCAATCAACCAGAGTGTCAAATTACACAGCATGGGAAAATTCCCAAGAACTTTCCCACGCTGTGTAAAATGACTCAGAGCACTCCAAGCCTTACCTGTCAGTCTCTTCATTTACCTGTCAGAGCACTCTGATTGGTTGGCTTGGAATCAACCAATAAGAGTGCTCTAATTCAAATTGCAGGGTGTGGGTAGGCCCTGCGGAGCTCAGTCTGCGCAGTAGCCCTTGCTGGGTGAAGATTGATAATTTTTTTAGTGGCGGGATTTATTTTTTCCGGCTTATTTTTTTTGGCGCTGTTTTTTTTTTTTATAGTTTGATGGGTATTTTTAATTTTTATTTGGCCTTTTTGGGGACTGAAGAAAGAAAAGAAGATGTATGGGGACCCCTAGTCACTTTTTCTTAGTGGTCGCTCATGGGTGGGGACCAGGGGGGACATTAGGTCCCCCCATTTAATTATTTAAGGTCCCCACCCGCCGGTCATGGGTGGGGACCAGGGGGGACATTAGGTCCCCCCCTTTAATTAATTGGGGCCCTAACCTGCTGCTCATGGGTGGGGACTTGGGTGGGGACCTTAGGTCCCCCCTTTATATTAATAGCCCCCACCCTTGGGTCGCGCGTGTGGGTGCAGAGGGGCACTATGTCCCCCCCATTTTAGGTATTTGGGTTCCCCACCAATTGCTGCCCAGTCACTAGTAGTTTTAAATAGTAGGGCATGCGGGAGGGTTTAACCTCCCTGTTATTAATATGGGGGTCATAGTGACCCCTATAGGTTTTAATGCGGGGGGGGAGGATTAGGAATGGTTAATGAGTATTACAAGGAGGGAGCTCTCTCCTTGTTTTTTTTTTTGTGTATGCACAGTGGTATTACGGACTGGTTTACAGACAAAATTCGGAATGGATGAATTCAATTTTTAATTTAGTACAAATTCATTCGTACAAAACAAAAATTTCACTGGTGCACATGTCTTGTAGCTGTAGATATATTGATAGGGTGGGCTTGCAGCATTGGACAAAAAAGGTAGTCTCTTTATTCATCTTCAGTGGCTTGCATTGTCACGGCTCCCTATGCTGCTGCTTTGTGAGCTCTTTGAATGTAGTTATGGCATAATTTGCAATAATTGCTAATCATTTATGTGGCGAAAGTGACATCGCCACTGATTTTTGGAGGGGCCTGTGCGCCCGCCTCCTACCTTCTGACTATGGCCCCTGGGAGAGTGTTCCTTTTATAAACATTGGGCTTATTGGATTTTGGGACACTTTTTCTGCCCCTTTGAATCCATGGGAAGGTGTGCCTCCCCCCCATTATTCTCCAGCAGGGCGTTGTCCCAGGGACCCTGCCAGACCAGTTGGAACTGGCTGATTTGTCCCTCCTCTGTTAAAAAGGACTTCCAACTAACTTTTTAACCACTGAAGGGAATTGTCTGAATTTTGGATATGTTTATATTTGAAGTGTGCTGATTAATAATATGTAGCTTATGGAGAATTTTTTTTTTTTTTTATTCTTTATTTTTGCAGTGCGTATAGTGGTTACAGGTATGCATATGGTACCCCAACGGCATTCCATATGCTAATTTCAAGACATTAGTTACAGTGGGGGTTAGGTAGACAATGCTGTCATTCAATGTTTAAGTGAATGAGTTAGATGAGGGATAATCAATTACTATTACCTCAAGATGTTCGCAGACCAACTCCCATGACCCTATGCAAAGAAAAGAAGCACACCCAAAGATTTAAAAAGTAAAAAAAAAGTGGGACGCAAAAAGGTTCATAGGAGTTTTAGTTTGCCAACATTTGAACGTTGAATATTTGAAAAACCCCTCCTGCAAAGCTTAAATGGACACTGTAGACATTATAGCCATTTTATTTCATTGATTTTAGTGCCAGGAGTACCCTGGCATTGTCCCTACATTCAGTAATAGACCATTTTCAAGCAGTTTAACATTGCCAACCCCTGGCCACCCAAATCCCAGCCCACACGGCAGTAAGCCATAGCAATTCATACAGGCATCGAGTGCTGTGATAGGCTGAAATTGTCCAGCTGACACTCTCAACCAATCACAGCCACCCACTATCACTCAGCCTTTTTCCTCATTAGCCCAAGCAGCTCAGAGGGGTTTATCATTAAAGAAAATGTAACTCTGAACAAAAGAATGTCGCAAGTGAACT